CGGCCCCGCCTCCTCCATGCTGCCTCCTTCCCTCTCTCCGCTCCCTTCCCCTCCGCAGGCAGGCGGCAGTCACAGAATCACTCCCTGATAAACCTCCTCCTCTCCAACCTCCTCGCTGCGCCACTAGGAAACAATGCTCTGGTTTCAAATGTTTATTTGGGGACATAAAGATTTTTATTGTATAAAAAACTCTAATCTAATACTGACAGAAAGATTTGTGCAAACTAATCTCTAGTGACAGAAAGCAGATGACTGCTTGTTAGGGGGAGGGAGGGTGGGACACCAGGAAGGGAAGGTGATGGGTATGTTCGCTGTATTGATGGTGATGATGGTTTCACAGGTGTACACATTTGTCACAACATTAAAAAGTGTACTCTTTAAATACGTGCGGTTTATTGTACATCAGTTATACCTCAACAAAGCTATTTTATTTAAAAAACAACAGGAAATTATTAAAGCCAGAAAGAAAGTTTGAGAAATTAGGAAAAATAGTTTATATCCCTAATGTAGCTATTTTCATTTTTTTCCACTTTCTTTCGTTTTTGTCCACATATCCAGTATGTTTCATGCAAATTTTACAGGGATACGGTGACAGCACACGTCAGCTGTTCCCAGCTGCAGGGCTAACACACTGGCACGTCCTGAGGAACTGTGACATGTTCCGACTAAATTTGTTATTAGCCAGACTTAAGGAAACCGCTTTGCCAAGGCTTAACTCTTCTAATAGTGCATAGCACATCCAAGACTACAACCATAATCACGTCACCTTCACTCTCTTGTGTTTGGTACGGTATCTACAACGAAAAAGCTAGCACACAGAACTTCGCGTAAGCCCTGGGTAAGTTCTTTTGGAAAATGTCAGGTGTTTAGAACCAGTGATGGAGATACTCAGTTATATCTTGGCAAATATTATATCTTAAAACAGCGTCATGTGTGTCAATATATGGCCTTCATACTTGACATTTTCCTTAAATCTAAGTAAAATACACAAATGGTAAGAAAGCACATAAATGAGTGTCCTTGAAGTCCCTCTCCAATCTGCCAGTACAAGTTCCTAAAGGCAAATTCCTTCCTGTTTTAACTTTTCCTTCTTCCTCCCTTCTGCCATCTATCCACCTTCCTTCTTGCATGTCTTTCTTTCTAGGTAGGTGATATAGTCACATGGGTCAAAAATCTAAGTATTAAATGTTATATATAACAGAAACTCTCCCCCGTGCCCTCAGTCACCTAGCTTCCCTCCTCAAAAGCAACCAATTTATCAGCTTTTTGTCTCTCCATCCAGCAACATCAATGAACATATATGCTTATGTGTATACCCACACACTTAGAGAGTATTTCAACCTTTAAAAGAAAGATAGCGAACAACATGTACTGTTTTACATCTTGTATCATTCAATACCAATATATAAAGAGCTTCCAAATCTTTTTTAAAGATGAAAATGTAAATATTAGTGTACTGAATTAGTCCCACATTGACAAACGTTTAAGTAGTTTCCAATCTTTTGCCATTATGAACAATGCCCTAACAAATAACCTCATAATGCACCAAACTGCATGTAGGCAAAAGCACTTACACGTGATTGACTATTTATAAGGAAAAAAAAGGCATTATTAAGGCTTTATATAAAGCAGGGATCCAAGAGGCTTAGATGCCACCTACTGGAAAACAAAAGAAAAATGCCTTCTTAGCAACATGCTAGAGACCTTCATATGATAAATCTCCTTTCTGGGTGGGGGGGTGGGGTGACAGAACACACTTCCATTAATGCACAGGCAGCGAAATAGTCCATTAAACACCATGAACAACCAAGGTGACAAGGCAGCTCAGAAAGAAATAGAAAAACTTCTAGAAAATAAGCTAAAGACACAGAAATATGTGACTTAAGTGACAGAAAATTCAAGATGGTACCTCTGAAAAACCTCAGTGAGATAAAAATAATACATATCTGCAATTCCAGGAACTGTGAAAACAACTAAATCAGTAGAATGAGTATTTTAGCAAGGAGAATGAAACCCTCAAAAAGAACCAAATAGAACTTCTGGAGATGTAGAACATACTAGAAGAGATGAAGAATGAAATAGCAGGCTTGGGAAATAGTGTCGACCACATGGAGGAAAGGATCAGTGATATCGAAGACAGAAATCTAGAAATAAATCAGAAAGAAGAAGAGAGAAACCAAAGAACAAAAAATAATGAAAGAGAAATACATGTACTGGTTGATACCATGAGGAAAGGAAACATAAGAATAATGGGCATTATCAAAGGGAGGGGAAAGGAGCAAGAATTAGAAAGCATTTTCAGACAAACAGTTGACAAGAATTTCCCAAAACTAAGGAATGAGCTAGAGCTTGGAACTCAAGAAGTCAACAGAACACCCAATTATCTCAACCCAAAAAGGCCTTCACCAAGACACACTGTATTAAAATTATCAAAAATTAATAACAAAGGAAGAATTCTCAGGGCAGCCAGGAAAAAGAACACAGTAACCTATAAAGGAAAATACATTATTGTCAGACTTCTCACCACAAATCTTACAGGCAAGAAAGGAGTATAATCAAATATTCAAACTAGTAAATGAAAGGAACTGCCAGCCAAGAATAACGTATCCAGCTAAGCTCTCCTTTAGATATGAAGGAGAAATAAAGACCTTTCCAAACATACAAAAATTGAGGGAATTCTCCACTACGAGGCCTGCATGATATCAAATACTGAAAGAGGTCAGCTCACCTAAAACAAGATGACAAAAAAAATACATTACTAGGAGTGAGGCAACTAGCAGGCAGATAGAAGCAGAGTAGTGCAACCCTTATTAAGAACAAGGCATTGTAAGCTTTAACAATAAGAAGAGATTTGCTATTGCAAGATAGTAATGAACGTTCAGCATACATGGGGACAAACTGAGACCTGAAACAATAAAACGTATAGAAGAAAACATAGGAGCTAAACTCAAGGACCTTGGACTTAAAGAGGATTTTATGAATTTGACATCAAAGGCAAGGGAAGTAAAAGCAAAAACAAATGAATGGGACTGCATCAAACTAAAAAGCCTCTGCTCAATAAAAGAAACCACCAACAAGGTAAAGAGACAACCATCCGAATGGGAAACTATATTTGCAAGCGACACCTCTGATAAGGGCCTAATATCCAAAATATACAAAAAACTCATACAACTCAATAACAACAACAACAAAAACAAACAAACAAACAATCCAGTTTAAAAATGGGCAGAGGCTCTGAACAGACACTTCTCACAAGAAGACATACAAATGGCCAACAAATATATGGAAGGATGCTCAACATCGCTCGCTATTAGGGAAATGCAAATCAAAAACCACAATGAGATATCATCTCACACCTCTCAGAATAGCTATCAACAGGACAAGGAATAACAAGTGTTGGAGAGCATGAGGAGAAAGAGGAACCCTCATACACTGCTGGTGGGACTGCAAATTGGTACGGCCACTATGGAAAACAGTATGGAGGGTTCTCAAAAAACTAAGAATCGATCTATCATATGATCCAGCAATCCCTCTACTGGATATTTACCCCAAAGACTTGAAAACATATATTTGAAAAGATATTTGCACAATGATGTTCACAGCAGCATCATTCACGGTGGCCAGGACATGGAAGCAAACGAGTATCTCATGACAGATGATTAGATAAGGAAGCTGGGGTACATATATACAATGGAATATTTCTCAGCCATAAGAAGAGATGAAATTCTGTCATTTGCGACATCATGGATGGACCTGGAGATAATAATGCTAAGCGAAATAAGCCAGACAGAAAAAGTTGAAAACCACATGGTATCACTTATGTGTGGGATATAAATCTAAAAGCAACAAACAGGACAAACAAACAGAGACTCACGAACATGGACAACAGACTGACTAGTGGTTACCAGAGGGTGGGGGAGATGGACGGGGTAAAGAGGGTCAAATATGTGGTGACAGAAATCTAACTATGGGCGGTGAACACACAATGCAATATATTACTGGATTTTGTTAACTAATGTCACCATAATAAAAAATAAATAAAATAATATTTTAAAAAATTAATTAAATAAAAGTGAATTCCTAAAAAAATAAATAAATAAAAATAAAAATAAGTGATGATCTACTTTTACAATAAAATCTTATTACCAGGCTAAATTAGCTTTTGAATACTTAAAAATTAATATTGCTGGACAATAACAAAGTATACTTTGTCAGTTTCAGTGACCATCAAGCAATAATTTGTAAGTGGGCAAAAATAACATTTGTCATTCCATTTTATATGTTCTGCTCTATGTAAATGTTTACACTGTACCTTTGTATTCAGATGGCCCAGGGTTTTTTCAAATTAATACATGAGAAGCGAAATATTTATTATGTTTTCCAATTCACAAAATTAGCCATGTTAAAAATAATTTTAATGAAATTAAATGGAATTTTAAAAAATTATGTCTTTGCAGTAAATGTAATCCAAATACAAGATAATATGACATTCGCGAATACAAATATAGGGCAGACTATTCCCCATTATGAGTCCAGTAATCATTATGTATCCCCATATTTATGAACAAAATGACAAAAATGAAGATATGTGAACCTATTTTTCACATAGGTTCAGAGAAGCCCAGCAGCTTGCCAAAGGCGACACCAAAATGAGAGGCGCAGCATGCATCTCAAACCACCCTCTTTTGTCTCAGCGTCCACTCCAGGGCAGGGCGGCGACCACGAGGTCCCTGATCACTAAAGCTGCTTGTTCCCCAGGTGACACCCCACCCACCACAGCTCTCTGCTGCGCAGTCCGGCCCTGACCCCTGGGCGGCGGGGGACCGCTCTCCTCTGCGAGGTTGCGCGGTGGAGACAGGAGGCGGTCCTGGGGGCGGAGCCCGCTGTGTCGCCGCTCGGCAGAGAAAGGAACCGTGAGCCGCCTCTTCCCGAGCCGCGCTCGCTTGTCTTTCTCTGCGCTGCAGCATGGGGCCCCTGCCGCGGACCGTGGAGCTCTTCTACGATGTGCTGTCCCCCTACTCCTGGCTGAGTTTCGAGGTGACGCCGGGCCTGGGAGGGCAAGGGCGGAGGGCAGAGCAAACGCAGGACACTGGGCCCACGGTCTCATGCAATTCCGGACATTGCCCCCAAGGGCTTTATGACATACAGATGGATAGAGAGCCAGGGCTGAAGGTCGCTGGGCCTAGGTAGAGCCTAAGGCAGTGGTGTCCCACAGTGGGTTGGAAAAGGGACAACTCCAAAGAATCAAGGAGAAAACCATGGCACCGCCACTTCTTAGCCCTCCGTTGTCAGTTTCTGAGGGGTGGAATGCGGCACAGGATGGAAACCGTCCACCGGAGCAGAGATCCTGGGATGGATTTCTAGGAGTGGAGAGAGCTTTTCCATTTCCAGTCGAGTAAGGCAGGGTGTCCGCATTACTCCTACTTCGTGCTTAGAATCTGGCTAATCACTTGCCGTGAAACACCCTTCCCGTTCCAGCGCTCATGTTCACACTTTCTACCTGCACACTGGCTTTGCAAGTTCACCTCTTCTCCTGCAGATGCTGTGCCGGTATAAGTACATCTGGAACATCCACCTACAGTTGCGTCCGAGCTTAATCGCAGGGATCTTGAAAGACAGTGGTATGAAGGCCGCAGCGCTGGGGACAGGGACCTGAGGGAGGGCTGGTTTGAAAGGCCCACAGGGGCTGTTCTCAACCGGGTCTTTATATTGGCACCAGCAGAGAGTATTTGTTCTCTGCCCAAAACCTGAGACTCTTAGGTCGTCTCTCACCAGTGTGTCCAACTTTCCACTTGCAGGAAACAAGACACCACTTCTGCTTCCCCGCAAAGCCAAATACTTCAAAAATGAGACTAGACTCCTGGGACAGCATATCCAGGTTCCCATCCAGTTACCCAAGAATATGTTTTCTGTGATCCTTGAAAAAGGTGAAGAGAGGGGGATACACATGCGGCAGCAAGTGGAAGGCAGTGAAGGCGAAGATTGTAGGGCCAGGAAGGAGAGGCTGGGCGACTAACTTCAATGAAACACACCCTGGGAAAACTCAGGAGCAGAGTTGAGCGAGAAAAGGTTGTAGGGACAGAGCGGGAGGAAGAACAGGACAAATCAGTTATGAGAAACGGTGGGAGGCTGAGAGCGATCCAGCTCTTCGAGATGTCAGAAGCAAGAAAGAGCAGGTCCTCCATCTGGAAACAAGCTAGGGGAGCCCTACCTCTGAGTGCCTCTCCCCTACAGGAAGTCTGTTGGCCATGCGCTTCCTCACTGCCGTGAACTTGGAGCAGCCAGACATGCTGGAGAAAGTGTCCAGGGAACTATGGATGCGTATCTGGTCTCGGGTGAGGGCGGGGCTTTGGGAACCCACCTGGGAGACCCAGGTTGACTTGATGACCATCCCCTAGGCCCATTTCCAGACCCCTGCTCCTTCTGGCCACCCCTGACCCCGTTGTTCACTGACCTACTGTCCACTACCCCACCCCTCACCTGGCCACCCCTCCTGCTGACTGTTTTATTCTTCCCAGGATGAAGACATCACGGAGCCCCAGAGCATCCTGGCAGTGAGTGTCCGAACTGCCCCCGCTCCTTTCACAGGGAATCTCACAGAGAACAGTTGGCATTTGGGGGTGGAGAGAACATAGTTTTCTTACTGGATGGAAGAGGTCATTGTTATTTAAGGAGAAAGGATGTCTATGTTTGAGGACAAATTACTGAAAGGCTGGAACTAAGGACTCTCATGGTTGTAATGGAAGCGCAAAATTCTACATGGGCAGAATTTATTTGATGGAAGTCAGTGGGAGGGAAATCATAAATGGGAGGGAGGGATGAAGTACAGGCAGGTCCTGGACCCAAACACTCCAACATAAACCTCACCAACGTGTGCAAAGTAGAAACCAGATGACTTTAAAAACAGGCTTTAAAAAGACAAAAAGAGATTACTAACTCAAGCCAGAATTATACAAAATCCTGAGTGAGAACAAATGGAAATAGCTCAAAACATTGAAATATGTGCCAGCCATAGATGGGGGTATAGAAAGCATGTGATTAAATCAGGAAATTAAAACCAATATTTTCCCTTCAGTTCACAAAAAGATAGTTGAGCCATATTCAAATTTAATATATAAAATGGCAAATCACAAAAAAAGTTAAGCGTAGGAAGAATGGCCAACACACCCTCCGGTGTTGTATTCTGGCAGAGGATATGCAGAAAGCTTGCCCTCTGGCCTAAAGCTGACCCATCGTTTTACATGCCACTGCGTGCATATGAAAATCACCTGGAACACCTGGGTGCTGCCCCCTACCCCCTGACAAATTCCAATATAATTGTTCTAGGGAATGGCCCTCGAATTTGGGGTTTTGTTTTTTTTTAAAGCTCCCCTAGGAGATTCTAATGTGTAGCCAAACCACTGATCCCAAACTGTAACAACAAAACCCAAACTGAACCCTTTATCATTCTCTGGAAGTTAGGCAGGTTGTTGCAGCTGTGTACCCTACTCAAGTCCCCAGGAAATTCCATGGGAATTACACCCCAGCCCTTCAAAAAAGCACAAAATATTCAGGAATTCTGAGAAGCAGGAAGGCAAGAACCCCAGACTTAATGATAGGGACTGGGATTCCGTGTTGGCTCTGCTACTAACAGGCTCTTTAACGAGTCAGCTCCGGCCTGGACTTGTCTCCTCTCTTCCTTGATAAGGAAGAGGTCAGGATCCGTGTGTATCTAAGATGCCCTCTAGTGTTACATTTCTGCAACTATGACTTTTTGCCATTTGCTCTTTCTGCCAATTTCAAGATTTTGAAGGAAGAAAACATAGCCACTCTTGGCAAGAACAGACCTCCACTCATGGGTGGGTAAAGGCCTTGCTAGAAAAACTTGGAGGCAGAAAATTAAAAGACCAGAGTTTTCTCCTGAGACCCCCACCCCCGCTAATGCAGGCAAGGTTGTGTCCCCTTCCAAATCCCCTCAGGCTGCAGAGAATGCTGGCATGTCTGCAGAACAAGCCCGGGGACTTCTGGAAAAGACCTCAACACCACAGGTGAAGAACCAGCTCAGGGAGACCACAGAGGCAGCCTGCAAATATGGGGTGAGCAACTCTCGATGCGTATCCCCAACTCTGAGGGCAGAGTCTGAAAACCTCTGCTGGGTCCCCACATGCCCTAGTCCTCCCTAGCTTTCCCAGACGACCCTTATCCTCTCCCTTCTTGTCCCTGAGCCCAGGGACGGGAAGAGAGGGAGACAGATGGTGAGAAAAGACAGAGCATCTGAGAGTTAGAAACCGAAACTCCCCTTAGAGCCACGGAGCCTCTGAGCAAACACCTCTGGCTGCTTCAGTGACCCCAGACAGGTGTTGGCTCATAGCCTTGACCCCAGCCTGATAGACACCTGCTCCATCACCTTCCTCCCTGCACTGTAACTGCTTTCTCCAGGCCTTTGGGCTGCCCATCACCGTGGTCCACCTGGGTGGACAGACCCACATGCTATTTGGCTCTGACCGGATGGAGTTGCTGGCGCACCTACTGAGTAAGTTACAGGTTCATATTGAGCTGTCCTTGACCCTAGCCCCGCTCACATTTATATCCATTGACCAGAAGGACAGATGCAGAGCAAAAATATTCTGGGCATTTCCAACAACGAAGCAAAGCATCATGCAGACACAGGGTGCTTGAGGTTAAATGGAAGGGGCCGCCCTCAGCCCCATAGGAGAGAAGGGAGCCTCCTGCACCTTAAAGCCAAGCAGAGCTCTTCCTGGAGAATGCCGGACCTCACGGAGCCGGCCTCTGACATACAGGATTGTCTCTTCCCAGGAGAGAAATGGATGGGTCCTGTGCCTCCAGCTGTGAGTGCCAGACTTTAAGAATGCCCAGAGGAAGCAAAACCTTTGGTCTGAAACAGCAGAGCTTCTGCTAACCCTTCCTCCACTGTGGGACACTGGGACTCTGGCTTCCCCACGGATGGGGGTTCCTCACAAGTGCCTTTACAGAGCCCCAAACTCTGCTTTTCCCACAAAATAAACCTAATGCCGTTAAGCGTATTTCTGGTTCTGGGTCTTCCCTGGTGCTTGTGTGTTTCTCTTCCTTGCACTTCCTGTCCACTTCAGGTGTTCAAGAAGAACAGCTCTTCCAGTTCCCCTGCCCATCTCGGGGCAGCTTATGTGGAAGGAGCAGAATACAGTCTCTGTTTCTTCTGCAGAATGTCCCTAGGTCTCTGTCAAGGACAAAAACTAGGCCAGATGGATTTTGCAACTATCCAGTCTGGCACTTACTGTCTTCTAACCAGCCATGGCATCTGAGACAGGGCTGGGACCCAAGGCCTAGTGGGAGTGAAAGCTGGAGGGAACCACAGCCTGGCTTGCACCCAGATATTTAAACCGGGTCCAGCAGAAGCAGGGCAAGGCAGCGCAGGGAGACCTGCTGCAGTTGCCATGGCCTGGGGAAGCTGCTCATCCCCTCATCGCTCCCTCCCCTCGCCCGCAGTGCAGATGCTGAGAGAACCCCGGGCCTCTCTCCCTGGCCTAGTGCAAGTCCTGTGGCTCCCACACTAACCTATAGCTTTCCCACTCACCCCGTTATTTACCCAAAGTCTCTGCTCTATCTGTGCCCCAAGTGCAGCCATCAGAATACCTTGTGTTTCCATAGTATTTCGACTTCCTAGAGAATACCCTGAAACCACACTTGGACACCTGGCAGAAGCCAGGTGTGGAGCCTTCGATGGCTCGAGGGTCCCTGGGCCTAGGAGCAGACGCCCTCTTCCCTTTGCTCTCTCCCTCTGGCTCTTTCTCATCTCACATCTGGTTTTCTGCTTTTGTCCCCCACAGTGTTCTGTCTTCCTCCTCTCCTTCCCTTTTCCATTATTCCAGCATGTTCAAGGATTTCAGGTCATCCTTACTGGGCTTCTCTGTGAAGTAATGCCAGAAGGACACTTCCAAATAAGCACCCTCTCCTTCAAAGGAGATTTCATGAGATGCTAGTCTCAGCGTTATTTGTGATATCGAATAACTTAAATATCTAATAGGAAAAAGATGCTTTAATAAATTACAATATATCCAGCATACGATGTTTCACAGCCATCAAAAATTATATGTGTGCAATGCAATATATACATGCCTTACTGTTGAATTTACACCTGAAACTTACTGGATTTCGTTAACCTATGTCACCATTTAAAAAATTTTTTCAAATTATATATGTGAAGAATTTTAAAGAACATTGGAAATCTTAGGATATAATATTGGTTGGGAAAAAAAGATGCGACTTTATAGTATGATCTCAATTATGTCTTAATATATTAAAATATAGGAGATGTGAATATATTAATCTTAGAATGAAATATGTCAAAATGTTTCCATTTTTTTTGTATACCTTTTAAATGACCTGGTAAACAAATATATATTTAACAAAAGAAACAACAAGAAGTCTAGATTCACATTTGTGTACAATTGTGCATTCTTCCCATTGTTTTCTAAAGGTATTGATTGCTTAACTTAACCCTAAATCTTACTCCAGGCTAATGTGGGATAATGTCTTATCATGTGCTTTCTCAGCTTTACTCAGCCTTCTTCAAAGACTGGCATCCTATTTACCTAACGCAATAGCAGAATTTCATCTTCTCTGGAAGAAGGAGACAATTTCTAGACTCATCCTTACACACGTGATCTAGATTATAATTTCTGAACAACCTCTGCCCAATAGAATCCAAAGTGAATTTTTTAATCAGAGTTTTCCAAAAATACAGAACAAATAGGATATTTATAGAGATATAGAGAAATCAGAAGATTATGAGGAGGTGGCTCACATGATTCTGAAGACTGAGGGGGCCCAGGGTCCACCATTTGCGAGCTGGAGGCCCAGGAGCACCGGCGGTGTGGTTCCAGTGGAGTCCAGAGGCCTGCGAACGAGGAGCCACGAAGTCTGAGGGCAGGAGAATGTGGCTGTCTCAGTTCAAGCAGAGAGCATATTTGCCCTTCCTCTGCTTTTCGTGTTCTATCGGGCCCTCAGAGGACTGGATGATGGCACCCACACTGGGCGGGCCACCTTCTTTATTCAGTTCACCGATTCAAATGCTCATCTCTTCTAGAAACACCCTCACCGACACACCCAGAAATAGTTTTATCAGCCACGTGAGCACACTTTTGCTCGGTCAGGTTTATATGTATAAAATTAACCACAGCGAGAAAAGAAAAAGCCCCCAAATGCAGCTGTATTTCTTTTTATAAAGAAATACTCTTTAATCTAAAGAGAGTTTCATACTTAGTTTCTTCCTCTTCATCCCTTCTGATCAACAGTTGCTATGTAAGGTAAAATTTGCAATTATGTCAATACTCAAAATTCTGTAGTAAACCACATTTTTGTTTTGTAATTCAAATTCCAAGCTCACGAAATAACATTATGCTTCAAAACCACAACCTTCTTAGATAAAATTCCTAGAAGTGATATCTTTTTTACAGAGCCAAAACACAAGTGGTAATTAACAACAAAAAAGTATTGCATGCATGTGATAAATGAAAAAACAGACCAAGGCATCATGTAAAAAGTGAAGAGTCTCCCTTTTCCCACTCCTATCCCTAGTCTCCAGTTTTTTGTATATCTTCCCAGAAATGTCCATATTTAACATGCAAATGTCAGACATAATACAGCGAGATGCCATACACCCTTCATCGGCTTTGCCAATAGTATAATATAGCATCATAACACAGCCGGGAAATTCACACTACCGTCCATCAACGTGATTCAGACCTCACCGGTTTCTGTGTCTGTATTTACTTCCATGTAATTGTATCACTGCATATTCACGTGACAACCATAGTCGAGATAAAGAACATTTCCAGCCTAAGGATCCCTCATGCAGCCACTTCCCTCCCTCCCCACTTTCCTAACCCCTTGCAAGCATTAATCTGCTCTTCATATAGTTTTGTCTCTCGAGAGCGTTGTATAAAGGGAATCGGCTTGGCTTGTTTCCACTTAGCATAATTCTCTTGAGGTCCACCCAACGTGTTGCCTGTATCTGCAGTTTGTTCTGTTTTAACGATGAGTAGTGTCCTATGGAATGGATTTGCCAGTTTGTTTAACAGATTTAAGGACATTCGGGTTGTTTCCAGTTTGGGGCTATTACAAATACAGCTGCAGTGAACATTCATGGACAGATTGTTGTGTGCACGTAAGTTTTCATTTTTCTGGGGTAAGTGCCCAGGAGCACGACTGCTGGGTCACATGGTAAGGGCATGTCTACTTTATCAGGAAACTGCCATACTTGCCCAGAGTGGCCGTGCCGTTTTACCTTCCCACCGGCAATGCATGAATGATCCAATTTCTCCACATCCTCCCCAGCATTTGGTGGTATTACTTTTTTTTTATTTTAGCCTTTTCTGATAGGTGTGCAGTTGTATCTCATTGTGGTTTTAATTTGCATTTCCCTAATGGCTAACAACGATCATCTTTTCGTGTGCTTATCTGCCATCTGTACATGCTCTTCAGTGAAATATCTCTTCATGTCTTTTACTTATTTTCTAATTGGACTGTTTTGATAAATGCCTCTAGTTTTTAAAATAGATTTTAAAAGAATTTGCAAACTAAGAACATATTTTTGAAACAACTGGGGGAAAACAACACAGATTTGGTATTAGCTGATGTTAAGGAATTAATGTCAATTTCATTAAGTGGAATTAATGTTAAGGAATTAATGTTAATTTCATTAAGATCATGGCAGGGTGGCTATGCACAAAAAAGCTCTCATCGGTTGGAATTAATTTCTGAACTATTTAGGGTAGAAGTGGCCTGATGCCTTTTAAAAGACGGAAGAGGTGGAAGGAAGCGCTGAAGCATGAGTGGCAAAAATGTCGATAATTGTTGAAGCCGTGTGATGGGTACACAGAGAATTCACTATACTGTCCTTTCTTCTTTTATGTGCATTGGGATATTTCCAGGATAAAAATGTTTTTAAAGGGAATGCCATGAAAATGAAACTCTGTGATAGTTCCTATTTTCATCATATCCCCCAGAGTACTATGCACACAAGGTCAGCTTTATGGACTTGCAAGCCATGCACTCGCACAGGGCCTCACAACCAGTTTAATGCTCTGCTATTGCTGTCTTGAAATCCTTCATACTTTTGAACGAGGGGCCCTGCATTTTAATTTTGCGCTAGATCCCACAAATTATGTAGCTGTATCCGACCCCATAAGCGTGCATTACATGCTGAGTAAATGCTTAACAAATAAACGGAACAAAGGAAAGAAGAAAGTGAGTGAGAGAAGGGGAAAAGTGACAAAGGCAGCAAAAAGACGACAAGATAAGTCAAAGGAGAGACAGAAAAGTCACAAGGTAAATAATTTGGATGGAGATTCCAGGAAATAATGCCACTGGGGAGGCAGGCGAGTTCAGAGAGAAAGGAGTCCAAAATAGAGGCGTTTGGGGCCATGAATTCATCATTCTTCTCAGAGGACTCACAGCCCTTCGTTCTACTACAATTCCCAAGCATAAGCAAAAGTGGAAGAAAGAGGTAGCCACTTGGACCCCAGGGTAAAAGAGGACTGGAGGCTGGGGGACCAACCGGACCACTGCTCCTTGTTTGTCCTATGCCTTTAATTCCAGCCTAGAGAGTTTCTTCCACATCTTTACAGAGGGTGGGGAACACTGGAACCCTTGGCCTAGAGCAGACCAAGGCTCTGGCTGGCTCTGGCTGAGGCCAGACTGGAAGAGACTGGGAAGGGCTGTGGGGGGGCGGGATCAGAGATAGGCAACTGAGAGAGGACCCAGGGATCAAAAGATCATGAGTCATTAAGTCAGTAAGTATTCACTAGTTACCAATAAATGACACATGTGTTCACTCTCCATGTCTAGCAATGACGTGGCTGTAAAAGGAGTGTAAACAAACCCCACTCTTATCCAAGATGCATTCCTGATCCCCACCCTTCTCAGCACAAAGTCTCTCTTCTGAACCCCAGCAGCACTTTGTACCCTGCTCACAGCACTTGTTACTTTGTACCTCGTCTTAGTCCTGTACATGTCTTTCCTCTTCTGGCCAGTAAGCTCCTTGAGAGTGAGATTCCTACTGTACATACCTCGGAGCGTCCCACATAGCAAGCGAACAATAAAAAATGTACTGAACCCAAGTTCGATAGATGGTAGAACTGAGGTTTCTGACCTGGTTTGGCCATCTCCAAAAAAATATGCGATTAGCCACAATGCCTCTCCCTGTTTTCTCACATTTAGGGATGTATTCACATGGGGCCCTATTGCCACTATCTGTAGACTTTTCTTAATAAACACAATGCTTTTTATTGTCACTTGGCAACAACTATGCTCAATTTCTCAAATTCCAGAATTGCCTTTTGTGGCTTAGTGCTGAACATCTGAGGGAGACTGACAGCCTGAACCCCACTGTTCATTCAGTCTGTTCCCAGTGAGCTTAGTACAATATTACAACTAGTTGGCGAGGGTGAGCATGTGTATTTATCCTGACCTACTACTTGAGGATTTATGATTCTTTGGAAGCATTTCCACCCCAGAAATATCAATGTTCTGACCTACTTTATAACCACCTGCCCTACACATTTGGAGGAGCTGTGTATAAGGCAACTACCAGAGAAAAACTCTCAACGGAGCTAAGTCAAGATTCTGAGTTCAAGTGTAACTAAACAAATCATGTACTTTCTCTGGGCTGGTTTCCTCCTCTGTAACAGCGATTTTACACACACAGACACACACATAGACACACACACACACACCATCTGCTGGTACAGCCCCGACTATGCCCCATGACTGTCCTTGGGATTTGATTTGTGCCCTGTTATCTTCTACCCGCTCCATCTGTCTCCTGATAACACTCTGGAGGCATGGAGCGCAGCCTTGCCTATCCTCCTTGAGGTCGCAAGGACAAAGTGTGTCTCTGGCCACTCTGCACCTCCCAGCACCTGCCTCACCCAGATTGCCTGCCTGAGCCACAACTGAAAAGAGTGGGTCCTGCATCTTTAGTGTATGCCGAGGCCAGGAAAAATGGTAGGCTTCTAATAAAAGCATTCAGCTATGTTTAGTGAGCACCTACTATGTGCCAGGACCTGACTTAGTTGCAGGGATCAGAGATGATTGAAACTAGTCACTCGCCTTGAGAAGATCACAGTGGAAGAAAGGTATATAAACAGAAAATTACTATTTAAACAGGTAAAGGGTGGGAAGGGAGTCGGTGGCTATACTGTGCAGACAGCCTCCACAGAGCAGGCATCATCTCCAAGGTGGCTTTTGAAGAATCAAGAGTTAACCAGGCTGCGAAGCACACGCAAACTTGTCTTACAGGTCTGCAGAATACAAGGCCTTCATAGAAAAGAAACTATGGCAGCAGAAGCAGAACACACCATTCCCTGCCCACAGCAGTGCTTACAGTATGCAAAGCACTTTTTGATCTAGAGATTAAACAAATCACGGTCTCTGCTCCCATGCACAAAACATATTCCGTAAATATAAGACAAACTGCTCAGAATACATTGCGCATTGAGAAGGAAAGATGAGTTTAACTCTGGGCTTAAGTACAAAGATCAGCGTGGGTGGGAGGAAGGGCAACTCACTACAACACGGTGGGGGGGTGGGGTGAGGAAAATCAAGGTGGGGCAGACTTGGTCAGTCTTCAGGAGAAAATGGGAGCATAAAGCCAGCCGCAGGAACCTGAGGGACTGGGGCAGGAGAGGGTGGGGCAAGCAGGCTCCACCTCCTCCACGCCTCCTGCTCCCCCCACAGCGCACTTTCTTCACAGTCTGGTCGAGACAGGTGAGGGAGGAACTCCTAAGGCCGGTGAGAGGGGCGGGAGGGTCCTGGGATTGGGGCTGGGGTGTAAGGAGGGGGTCTGGCCCCTCTGTGGAGTCTGCAAGCCCTTGCTACACAGAGTTCAGAGAACTCCTGACAGGCTGGTTTGGGGATATGGCTGTCTCAGCCGGGTTGCTCTGCTAGAAAGGAAAGAAAAGTCTCCCCAGCAACCTCCCAGACCCTGTGATAACTCCAGGTTAGAAACCAGAAGTCTGAGTTTCCTGAGTTAGGGACAGTAGAGGGTGGAGGATCCTGGCAGATGTGGGGTGTAGAGAGGTCAGGAGTTATCTGGGCCTCTGTCCATTGCCCTAGGCCTTTGTCTGTAAGATTCTCTTTCACTTAGCTGTCTCCTTGAGGCTATATTGGGCCCGTGTGCATTTGGGAAGATAGGGTCGGACAGGGTAAGTTGTGCTCCCTTCCCATACTCACCCCCAAAAAAGAGTCATACTGAGGGTCCCTGACTGGGAAGCTGGAGGGTAGAGGTCCGTCTCAAGCAATAATAAAGGCCAGGGCCTGCCCCATTACCCGGATTCCAGAGATGCCAGTGAACCCCAAGGCCCCAAGGCCTGCCCAGGTCTGAATCCTGGGTGCTGTGAAAGGCAGAGCTGGAAGGAAGACTGTAGGGAAGGAAAAAGGAAGGCAGGTGGCCGTGACACCGTAAACTGGCATGAGGGCTGGGAGTTAGAATTCCTGGTCTGGTTTCCTGGCTACTCCACACATACTGATACCCCTGGACAACAGTGTGATCCGAGAAAGAATTACAGAGCTGGAGAATATCTTGCTGATCATTTATTTTGCCCATTTATTTGATTCGAGATTGAAGAACCTAAAACCCCAGAAAGGTGTCTTGGAATCTGACTCAGCCATGATGCCACTTGCTAGTTTAGACACAACAGCTGTGTATCTTTTTGCAGGAGCCTGGGGAGGGGCCATGGTGCCAAGCCAGTGGTGGGGGAGACTGGAGAAGCCGCTTCTCTACCTGTGCTGCGCCTCCTTCCTCCTGGGGCTGGCTTTGCTGGGCATACGGCCAGACATCACCCCTGCTGCTTATTTCTTTCTGACCTTGGGTGGCTTCTTCTTGTTTGCCTGCCTCCTGGCCTGTTTTCTGGAATGGGTGTTCCGATCAGTGCAGACGGAGAGCCCAGGGTCCTCCAGCAGTGCACGGTGAGTTGGGGTGGGCAGGATTGGAGGGATACACTGTGTTCCCATTCTCCCCGTGTTCTCCCGTTCCCTCAGATATACAGGCTCTGCTTTCTTCTGTTACTGGTATCAGTGAGAGGAGAGGGTTAGGGGCTCGTGGAGGGGTCTTTGTTGGTAAAAGACAGAAAACAGTAAAAAGGCTCCTTTCAGGAAGCCACCAATGACCTTATTTATCCTTTCTCAGGGACAATGAAGCCTTTGAGGTGCCAACCTATGAAGAGGCCGTGGTGTTGGAATCACAGAGCCACCCCCATGAGTTGGATCAACCACCCCCCTACAGCAGTGTTGTAATCCCCCCAGGACTTGCAGAGGGACAGCCTAACCATCCAGAGGGGCCCAGGAGAGCCGGAGTGGAAAGGCGAGTGGGCTCAGAGGGGTCTATGACCTCAGGAAGCCCTGGAAGAGCTCCAATCAGCCTTCAGCTTCAGGGACCACGAGTCGTGTCCACAGCTCCTGATCTGCAGAGCTTGGGGACAATCCCCAAATTGGAGCCGCTCCCGAAACCGGAGCCTCTTACTCCGCCCCCTGCCTATGATGTCAGCTTTGGTCACCCTGATGATGAAAATGTTTTCTCTGAAGACAACTGGGCACCCCCCTAACAGACTTTCTCAAGATCTATCATCTCTTTGCACCAGGCCCACTCATTTGACCAACACTTCCCAGTGCCTGCTACATGTCAAGAACTAGACAACACAAATGGGAACTTTAACCCAGATGGGAGTCAGGCTACGGTAAGCCATTCCCAGTGGAGATGTAGATGGCACAATTTGAATTTTCAGGCAACATTCAGAAACCTACCCCATATCCATTATTTCCATAGTTAGATTGAGGGTGAGATGAGGTGGTGGTCCAGAGAATCTGGAGAAGGAAAAAAAGAAACATCTGAGTGATAGCTATGTTGTTTCTGTTCCAGGTGCTTTGCCTCAGTCTATCAGATCGCTTAGGCTTCCAAGCCTGTCTGAGCTATTATTACCCACATTTGAAAAATGAGGATTCCAAGGGTTAGAGAAGTTTGATTATTTGCACAAAGCACAGTGCTGGTAAATAGCACAAAAATGACTTGAACTCTGCTCTTCGGAGGCCAAAGCCCACTGTGTTCTCAGTACAAGGTAAGGGAAGCCAGGCCATCCACACAGCTGTCAATCTCTGTCTTGGACAACTGCTGGTGAGGGGTGGAAGACTTCGTGTAGACAGAATGGAGGACTAGCTGCGTTTGCAGACAGGGTGGGCTGAGTGTGCCCAGCCTCCTTCAGGAGTGAAGCTAATCAAAGCTGTGATGGCTCCTACTCCATGGGAGGAGCAGTTCCTGCCCAGGGGCTGGAGAGCAGTGCCAAGGCAGAGTCCTCATCCTATCTAGAAACAGTGGGACAAACTGCCCCAAGGTTAGAGACTTGTTAGTTCGAGAATAGGTGGATAAAGAGGGTCAGCAGGGATAGTCCGAGAGTTTCTCGGCAGTGGTGGCGGGAGTATCTATCTAAGGATACTCTTGAATCACTCAGTGTGAAGCACTGGAGTCACTTGCGCTGACTGATCGCTTCAGCCTCACCCCTGCACTTGGACCGCTAGGGTTTTACCCCAGTCCCCGCCCTGCTTTCTCAAATCCCAACAAAACACCAGATGGTCTGGCATCTTGTCCTAGGGCTGCGGTGTAGATTTTGGCCACTGGGAGCTGCTCGACTATCGGTGACCCACCCTCCTCAGTGGTGCGCTCCCCACTCAGGCCTTCAGTCGCTGAACGGGTGTCTGGCGCCTTCTAGTGCTCTCCGCTTCTTCCTTACCCTGGCCCCAACAGTTCAATAAAATGAAAATTCGGGCCACACCCGTCTTCGTACAGTTCTTGTAATAGGCCAGGAAGGCGGAGTGGGAGGTGTCGGGGAGGGAACCATGATTTCCGCGGGAACCGACGGCCAATCACATTCCCACGTAGGGCGGGGCGGCTCCTCGCGCTGGCCCCACCCCTTCCCTTTCCGCCGAGCGCGCTCTCACCCCATTGGCCGGCGCGTCCACCGCGAGGCTCTGCGCCTGCGCGCGCACCGCGACGATATGGGCGGGGCAGCCTGGCGCAGGGGCGGTGCTGAGAGACGTAGGGCGCAGGCGCGTGGTGTTTCAGCGTCCAGGGGAGGGATGCGCTGGACGCGAAGGCTCTCGGTTTGTTTGGGTTGTGGGCGGTGCGCGCACAGCCCGGGAAAAGCGAGAAATGGCGACGCCGATCGCGGGCTCTCGGCCTCCTCTCGAGCAAAAAGGGCGAATGGCCGCTGACAGGGCACGCAGGTGAGTGGGAGAAGGTCCCAGGGTTACTTAGTGGGGCCCAGCAAAGGGGATCGCGGGTCCCAAGCGTGTGGCCCTGGCACCCCGTCTCCATGGAGCCCCTAGAAGCGGCCTTACCCGCATTTCTGCCAAGGGTGGGAGGTCGTGCTACACCCTCTCGGGGCGCGCGGGCCTTCCTCTTCTCGATCTTGTTCCTCGTGAGCAAAGACCGCCCCCCAGCTTCGATTCGTCCAACTCGGGGAACCTCTGAACAAGGGGATCTCTTTCTAGTCCTGCCAAATCTCGGCTTCTCTTAAAGATTCTCCATCTTTAAGTCTTCAAGAGAATCTTCCCCTTTCCGTAATGAGGGACTGTACTCTCTCCCCTGAAAAACCGATAAGATGTGCAGACCTCGGAATTCTGCCTGACGTGCATTGGATTTGGATTGATTGTATCATGACCTGGATTTTCAAAGCAGTCAACATAAGTTTTGAGGTTTGAGTGCTTTGATAAGACAAGGAGATTCAGGCTCCTGATGTGTCTCCACCCTGCCCCAGTTATATCATTTAAATCATTTCATGGCAGACGTCACCCAGGAGAACATTTAAGTTCCTCCTTGTCCAAACCCAGAAGATAAATTTAAGACTTCAGACTGGAAGCTGCAGAAGGACGCAGAATGAAGACTGAAGAACCCCTTTTGTGTTCTTTTCTCCATCCCCTCCTCCCCTTCCAGATGTGTCTTAAAGTTCTAGGTGATTGTGGTTACTTTTGGAAAGTCCACATTTGAGGCACTTCACGTAGTATGGAATACAGGAAGGAGCAGATGTGTGGAGAACAGATGAAGAAGGTTCAGATTAACCCTAAGGAATTTTTTATTGAAAATTCAAGTCTGGAACTTGAAAGAGTTAAGAACTGGAGTCAGTCAGTGAATTGTGAATATAGATGAGATAGAATTGGGAGAGGCTTTTTTCCAGTATGCGGAGTTGCTAATGGATATCAGCATTTAAGGCAGGCGAAGGTCCTCTGGAGGAAACAGGAACATAGCGGGCAAAGAGAGGACCTGGAGAGAATGATGTCATGAGACCCAAGGGAGGAGAAGGATTTCGGTGTTTGTTTTTTAGGTTTTTATTCATCAGAAGTTAACAGCAACAGGCACATACTAAAATGAGTATGATAAAGTCTTTTGCAATGGCTTTACACTCAAGCTTTTTCCCAAGAAATTGACTATTGCAACAAACTAAACATAAAGTCTTGCAGTAATCAGAGAAGTAAGTACCCTAGAACTAAAAGCACTGGTTTCTGGTTAAAATTGGGTTACGGTTGTGCTTACTATACATAAAACAACTTGAAACAAATTCCAAAAGTGGAATAATTTAAGTTTAAAATTAGTCCTTAGATTTTGTCCTAGAAAACATCTGGTCACATCAGAAGGCCCATCAAAGGATAATCTTTCATCCAAGAGAGGGACAAGAAAACAATGCACTTTTTTCAAACCACGAGAGATTTGGTCACTTAGCTTTGTGCATACTTTAGGGCAACTAGGGCAGTTTGTTACACTTTACCTCCAGGAAGGAGAAAGTTTTAAGGAAGAGTGCTCCTGGTATACGAAGAGAGGAAACCAGGGTAAACCTGCTCAGGCACTGGTATCTCCTAAAGAAGTAGCATCCAGCTGCATGCAGAGTTTCCTTGTGGTTGGCCTAGTAACACTTATACCAGAGTTCGCATATGTCATCGTTGTAACTGCTTCGATATGTTCCAAGGTGATTCTTAAATGGGGGTTTTTCATTTCTCTAGATTATGGTGTTGTAGCAGATTTTTGCTGAAGGTTTAGGGCAACGAGTATTACAAGAAACAAGACGTTAAAATGGAATTTCAGACATCACTGTTCCAAACCCAAACTTTAACCTAAGTTGGCTGCTCCCAACCCTGGGACTGTTTTTCCTGACCACTCCTCTGCCTTAGGATCCCACGTTCTACCTTCTCGGATTTCTCTCAGCTCTTCCAAAATTCTGCTTTTCTCTCCTCTAACTGTAAATCTCTAACCTAGAGTTAAGCCAAGTGTATCCTATAAATGCCTGGCATTTCACTGATTCTGAGATGCACGTTTTAACATCTTTGAAATCAGGATGCATCTTTTAAATAAGTTTTTTAAGTTACACACTGAAGCCATTATCATATCCCTTTCTCACTGCCATCAGGCGCTTACTGTTGTCATATATTTGGAAACTGGCTGAGCAGGCTGACGAGCTCTGGATTTATATAAACTAGGCACATAGATGGTACACATTGGAAATGGGATTCTTTTGGCTCACAAACAGAAACGAATCTTTTTCCAAACCAACAGAAAAACTTAGAAATCCTTGCAATAAAGACATCTCTAGCACACTAAATTACCAAAAGAATTTAGCCTTTATGTGCTTTACCTCTGAATGATTTCAAGTTATGGTGATGGTGTTCGTCACTGTTAGGTATCTGCCATGACTTTCTATCATGCTCTGTGCTTACCCAGTTCTTACAGGATTCTCATCATTTCTGGTGTCATTTTGTCACAGAAACTTGAAGTTTTAAAAGCCATAGTTATAATTGGTATAACTGGCTAGACGGTGTGTGTGTCTATGTATCTGTCTCATTTTCCATTAAAGCTAGCCATTGGTTTGAGTTTTTGCCATTTTGCCAAATTAATTTATTCCTCACCCAGGATCATTTTAAACTTCACTTTACATCACTTTCAACAGCCTAGATAAACAATGTGAGTTTTCTGGATTAATCTCTTAATTAAAATTGGTCTTTGAGCAAAATATTTTTTACAAATACACGTGTGCACGTGTGTGTATTATTCCTGTCTAGTAGACGTTTCCCTCCCCTAGACATACCATTGTCTCAGACGATGCTCTCAGTTGAACATACTCCACAAAGAATCACATACCTCATTTCCTTATGCTTAATGTGTTACTACTTAATACTTCTTTGATTTTAATCAGATTTGATCAAATATGCCTAATCTTGGTTATTGTAAGTCTTATTCTTTTTGTTCTTCCTACCCCTCTTCTGTGCCAAATCTTGTATTTGATAGCCTTTCTCTCTGCCTTTTATCTATAGGATCTTGGGAGTTTGTGGCATGCATCCTGACCATCAGGAAGCTCTAAAAAAGAACCGAGTGGTGCTGGCCAAGCAGCTGTTGCTGAGCGAACTCTTAGAACATCTCCTGGAGAAAGACATCATCACCTTGGAAATGAGGGAGCACATTCAGGTATCGGGAGGCAAAAGAGAAAAGCCAAGTAAATTGATTATAGAAGAGGAACAGAGCGTGATAAAGTGTGAAAAGGATCTCATGCCTTACTAAGGAAACAAAAATGCCCTTTTATCCTTTACATGATTCAAGGATAATGGGAAGGGCTTCACTCATACATGTTCTTCCTATAAAAGAAATTCTTGAGATGGATGATGGCATTTTTAGGAAGCTCATCTGGAGAAATAAAATTATAGTTAGATAAGTAAATGTGATTTCATGTTTTATTCTTGTATCATAGGCCAAAGTGGGCAGTTTCAGCCAGAATGTGGAACTCCTCAACTTGCTGCCCAAGAGGGGTCCCCAGGCTTTTGATGCCTTCTGTGTGGCCCTGAGGGAGACCAAACAGGGTCACCTGGAGGATCTGTTGCTCACAACCCTCTCTAGTCTTCAGCATCTACTCCCACCGGTATGGAGCCCTAGACATGTGGTGTGTGAGGAGGGTTAGTTTGGTGGTAAAGAAATTCTTGAGACGGAGTGTGGGGGAGACTAGATTTATGTTTTATTTGGACTGGACCATCTCTCCCTAAAGTCCTGGCACCGGGGTCCTGATTTCTTACAGTTGAGCTGTGACTACGACTTGAGTCTCTCTTTCCCAGTGTGTGAGTCCTGTACCCCTCGCAAGCAGCTCCGCCTGTCTGCAGGTGAGAATTGGTGGGCTAAATGGGTCCCACAGATTGGCTCCCTGTTTCTTGACTAGTAGCTGACTTTGCCCTCGTGTGATACCTGTTTCATTCATAGTGGGAACAGCTCCCTTGGTGAACTTGTTAGGGACTGGCAGGACAGTTTAGATGGAATGTTGGTTAGGCCCATTTCCCTTCCATCAGAGATGATTTTTTTTTGGTAGTTGGCCCTCGAAGCAACTTGGGGAGGTCAGAAGTTCCTGGATGTGATTGACTGACCTGTCTCCTCTGTAAACCTGAGTGTGTGAGAATGAGTAAAGACTTCATTACAGGCCACCCGCCTGCTGATTGAAGTGCCTCATGATTAGAACAAGGCTTTTGTCATATATCTCATTCAGTCATTCAGGGTCGAGTGTCTCCTCTACTCAGGCTAAGTAAATAGTGTCCCTGCCCCCAAGGATCTTACAGATTAGGGGAGTGAGCAAGACCAGCAGCAGTTATCGAAACCCCAGTTCATAACAGTGCCAAAGTTACAATGAAGCACTAGGATTGATGAGTAGGTTACATGCTAGTGTTTTGGCTTTCTGTGCCACAGAGACTGTGGAACACTCCCTTGACGATGGAGATGGCCCTCCCTGCCTTCAAGTGAAGCCTTGCACTCCTGAGTTTTATCAAACACACCACCAGCTGGTGAGTCTTGCACAATGGTGAGAGAAAAGGCATTGGGAAATGAGACACCCTTCCTAGGCATCTGAGCTTAGCTTCCATGCGCATTTCCTTCCTGCTTTATCAGTCAAAAAGTCTTCTGTGGGCATTTCTTTGTTTTGACCTGGTGGGGTTTAGAAGAAGAATGTAATGTCTTCGTTTTCTTGAACTGTCTCATCTAGTGGGGGAGCCATAGTTTCTGTCCTCAGGAAGCTCATGGTCTAACTGGCTTCCCCTCCCCAGGCCTATAGGTTGCAGTCTCGGCCTCGCGGACTAGCACTGGTGCTGAGCAATGTGCACTTCACTGGAGAGAAAGACCTAGAATTTCGCTCTGGAGGGGATGTGGACCACAGCACTCTTGTCACGCTCTTCAAGCTCTTGAGCTACAAAGTCCATGTTCTGCTCGACCAGACTGCACAGGTATCCGAGGCAGGAAATGCTGACATGTAATTCGGGGCCAGCGGCCAGTGGGGGCCAGAAACGTCTGCTGCTGCTCCTGTATTCCTGGGCTGTGTCTTACTGATGCTCTCTCCTTTTTACTTGCTCTGTTCTGCCTCTCACCTTGCAATCTAGTTAAAAAAAAAACCTGGGGTCAGCCCGGTGCTTTGGTGTTGTGTTCTCGGGTTAGCTGCGCCCACCCTGAGTGAGAACCGTCCTGGGAGAAGGTTCTCAACGTTCTGTGTGCAGCAGCTTGATTCCCATTCACTCAGGAAGTGAGACAGAGTCACCCAGCCAACTCAGTCCTAAGCCAGGATTGCACAGGACATTCACTCTCTGGTTACTAATAACAAGGGTCCAGTTGTTGTAAAGATTACTTTGGCAGATAGAATTCTTACAAATGATAGTTTGCTGGAATGGCCCTTGTAAATACCATCGTGTGTGAGTTCGGTGAATTAACGTATGGAAAATGCCTTATTTTTATCATCCGCGTGGCCACAAGGCTGATCTTAGGGTAGGTTACTTCCAGACTAGGTGCCTGCAAATCAAGCATCGTCATTATGGGTTATTTCCTGTTAACCTCAGTGATCAAGCTGCACTACTGACTTTACCTTTAGGTATTTTGTGAATAATAACCCTTTGGCAAATTGATACTAATTCTCTATTTTGATTCCAGAGTAACAGTACCTTCTTAAACTTGCCTTTGGGAACGTCAGTGGTAGAATTAAAGTTTCTGGGAGATTCGCTTTAATCTACTGAGGTAGAGGGTAGGAGGGAGTCTTTGTCTTCAGCACTGCCTGTGGTCTCTGTTTCTGTTTCTCAGCTGTCGTGTTCACTTTTGGTAAGGCCAGTTTCATCAGTAGGTGCTCAGGTGTTCTCCTTTACATGCTGTTTTTGCCAGCTTTCCAGTAATGGCCCATGCCAAGTAGGAAACCCACCCTTGCTTCAAAGCCGGAGCTGGAACAGCTTTGTTAGTTGTCACATATTCTAGTAGATTATACACTTTCTTCAGAGGCCTCTTGGGTGTGAATTTGGGTGGGACATCAGCCATAATTCCTACAGGGAGAATCCTGGTAGAAAGTCACTTAACAAAATGAATGCTGCATATGGTTCCTTACAGGTTTTGGTACAGTAATTCCTTTTACCTGGAATTTAATACATCCTGGTTTTCCAAATTGTATGTAGTCGATAAGGGGTCTTACATGCATGATAGCTAAAGATATAAGCCTGCATCACCAAGTTAGGTGTATACTGTTTTTCAGAGACATTCAGCAGATTCAATGGACCCATGAGCCCATTTCACTAACACCATTCCTGTTTATGCTAACCCTGGTGCAGAGTCAAGGACCCATTGGATTCCGAACCGCAGGTCCCAGTGTTCTGTAACTGGTTTGCAGTAGCGTCAGGTTTTGAGTACCTTAAAATGGAGGAACCGTGTTAGCTATCGGATTTAAAAACGTGGAGCTCGAGCTCAAGGGACCTCAGATAAGAAAGTCTCGACATCAGCAAAAAAGGAAGCATGTCCCTTATATTCCCAAGGTACAAGCAAGATTAGAGACGGTGTTTCCCACCGTAGTTAAGGGGAAGAAATAATCACCTGGGCGGATATGGTCTGAAGGATGAATGGAAGATGTGAGACTTGGGCTGGCCTTGAAGGATAGAAGCTACCAGAGCAGAGAGCAGTGGTGAAGGGATCCTAGGCTGGGAGAACAGCATAGGACAAGAAATGTGTGTGTGACGTTAGGGACCTAGTGGGTAAACCAAATGCCTGGGGCAAAAGAGCTTCAAAAATAAGGTGGCGACAAAGGGACCAGAATGCACAGGGCCTTGAATGTCTTCCCAGAGGAATTGGATGTCCCCGTTGTGACGTTAGGACATCATTAGTAATTCTTGAACAGAAAGGTGGTGTGTTCACAGTGATGATTCCGGAAGATTAATATGACTCCATTATAAAGATTGGTGTAGGGACTAGTAGCAGGAGATCCAGTTTGGAATTCGTATCATAATGCCAGTGTGACATGATGAGGGCCTGGACAGGATAGTGGGCCAGAAAGGAAGGAATATCTGTGAAAATAGTATGATGGCATAATGTTCTTTCAGTGCTTAGTAATTGAATGACTGCATATAGAGGAAGATGGAAAAATTAAGGAATTGAAGGCCTCGGAGGAAGTTGAGATCAAAGATATAAATTTGGAAATTACTTGTGTAGAAAAAATAATGAGAGAGTATGAGATCTTTGAGAAAGAAATTCAAGTAATAAGAGCAAAGGGCTTATTAGGACTGAACCTGGGGATATAGTCCTCCATGTAGCCTAACCCTCAGCTGTTGAGATTCAGAAACGGGAGGGGGACATTGCAGAATCAGTTTCTGACATATCCAGACTCTCAGATGCGGTTAAAATCAGGTCTTCACAAGAGTAAGATAATTTGGTGCATTGGACATTTGCACAGAACAGTTTTCTTCCTGGTAGGACCTCTCAACAAGCTCAGCTCTTTTATATAATTATTTGGTGACTAAAGAAACAGAACCAAAAAAAATAAGATCCTCTCTTTTTTTCCTTTATTAAACCTTTCTGACTTTAGAAACAATTCTATTTAAAAATTGGAAATCGTAAGTAGTCTTAGGGAATCCTCTTCCCTTGGCTGTGCTGGAGAGCACACTCACTCTCACTGCTCGTGCAAGGTTCTCAGTTTTTGTCATCTGTCTTTTCTCATTGCATTTCCCTCCTGAGGTTGCTAGGTGTAGAATTGCAACTGTCATGTATGAGGAAATGAGATACGTTTTAAGAGATAAGTTTTCTTTTACCACGTGGTATTTGTTTTTAACTTGCATTCGGGTTATAGTCTGCTTTGAGAATAGAGACAAGCTATGTGTCATTCCAGGAAAATGAGATACTCACAAAATTTTGCATGTAATTCCAGAGGTTCACAGGTTATTGTCTTTTGTGTCGCCCAGCTCCTAGCCAAAAACACAAAAGTTAAGACTGTTTATAAAAAGACTGTAATTTTATCAGAAATCAATCTGCAGATCCTATTTTAAGCTATGCTAGCTTTGGAAGAATTCCCCCAAATGACTAATCCCTATTTATTTAGTCTTATTAACTCAGTTACAGAGTGTGTGTTCTTACTTTGGGCTTTCTTGTCCTCTATTTACTGACCTAATAATCTCACTGAAGTTCAAATGCTTGTGAGTAGGTGCCAAGCATAAATGTTTATTACCTTCTTCGAGCAAACTTAATTTCGACTATTATATGTTAAATTTTGTCATGGTCCTTTCCAGAGGAGCATTCATACTTGTATATTCTCTTGAGTATATATTCTTGAAATAATTGAATTTTGGGTATCTTTTATTACCTTAAGATTTTCAGTATTATGGTTGGCTTCTATGTACCCAGAAAAATTACATACTTTTTCAACAGAGCCAATTATTCCATTTCCAGATGCAGAAATTGAGTCTAAGTTGCAGACTTTTGAGTCTTTTGTATAATTCTCAGTTATCCGCAAACAGAAGTACAGTTGACCCCTGAACAACACAGATTTGAACCGTGCAGTTCTACATATATGCAGATTTTTTTCAGTAACTATACAGTCGTTCCTTCGTACCCCTGGGCTTTCCATCCGCAAATTTATTCAGCCTCGGATCAAAAACAGTATTTTCAGTCCACAGCTGAGAATCTGCAGATGGGCAAGGCTGACTGTATGCATTATTCTCCACCATTTTATATGAGGGACTTGAGCATCCGAGGATTTCAGTATCCACAGGGGGTCCTGGAACCAGTCCCCCACAGATACAGAGGGAACAGCTGTAGTTCAGTTCAGGGAGAGTCAAAAGTTATACGTGGATTTTTGTGTAGGTTGTCAGCACCCCTAATCCCTACTTTATTCAAGGATCAACTATATTCACATAGATGGGTAGTTCGCAGACTTTGCATATCAGAATCACCCTGACGGCTGGTTAAAACACAGTTGTGGGGTCCAAGACTGCATTTCTTATAAGTTCCCTGGTGATTCTGATGCTGTTGTTTTGGGGACTACACTGAGAACCACTGCAGTATGTCATACAAGTGATTACTTCTTATCAGGGGCTTTGTATGGTAACCTTTCTGCCTAGGTAGCATATTCATCTTCATTCTAGTTCAGATTCATAATAACTAACTTGAGATCTCTGCTCATCTCAGATGGGAGAGATGACCCAGACATACTGGGTTGTAGAAGGCGACATAGATTTATAATTACTGCCAGATTATTATACTGTTAGATACGGTATAACTTTTCTTTGATGGGCCAGGTCCCTGAGGTAGAGAAGTACTCATGTATGGCAACTTTGTGCTAAGTATGCAGGATTCTACGTTGGACTGCAGGTTTCTTTGAAAACTGATAGTATTGTTACCCTTCATTAGGCATGCTTGTTACAGTAATGGCAGATCTTTGCAATATGTGCCAGACATAATTATAAGTCCTTTTCTTAAAAAAAGGTATTAGAGCCTTGAGGGGCTAAATAACATGTTCCCATTTTTGAGCCCAGGGGTCACACCTCTCTCTGCCTGATCCTGTAGCCCCGGCCTGCAGTCGAGGCCCTGACAGCCCTCCATACAGGGCATTTTATACAGACATGGTCACCTCTGGGGACACTTCAGACCCAGATAGAGAACAGTTCTCTAGTCAAGATCCTATTAGCCCTTTGTCACAGAGCACTTTATTTTCTTGTTGCTGCATAGATTATGTTACTTCTTCATTCACAGCACTCCTGGTCTTCCTGTGCCATTAACATTCAGAGGCATTTGCCCTAAAGAAAGATCTTGTTGATGATTGAGGAATGGATAGAGTTAACCAGCTTTTGATTAGCTTCATTAGTAATTTGCTTTAATCCAGGAGTTCTTAACATACCTCAGTCTGAATCTTAGGCAGCTACATTCAGAATTCTGTGTCTTAAGTCTTACGTTTTTCTGGTGAGTTCATAACTTTAGCCTCTCAAAGAGTCTCTGACTTCCCTTTCCGTGACCACAGGCATGCACATACAGGAAACATTTTATCTTCCGATGGCTTAGGGTTTCAGACCCTAAAGAAAAGCTTATATTGGTGCTGACTACAGTGAACAAGGCTAATCAGTTCTTTCTTCTAGGAAATGCAAGAGAAGCTGCAGAATTTTGCCCAGTTACCCGCTCACCGTGCCACCGACTCGTGCATAGTGGCCCTCCTCTCTCATGGCGTGGAGGGCGGCATCTATGGCGTGGATGGCAAGCTACTTCAGGTGCGTGCAGCCTTGTGGACAGTGCTGTCACCTCCAGCCTGCCCTTCTGTCCAGTACTGGCTACTGTCACGTGGACAGGACTCGGGAGGTCCTACTGACGGCTTAACTGCCCTTCTTCCTTACTTTTTCCTGGCAGCTGCAAGAAGTGTTCCAGCTCTTTGACAATGCCAACTGCCCGAGCCTGCAGAACAAGCCGAAGATGTTCTTCATCCAGGCCTGCCGTGGAGGTGAGTGCCCTGGCCGACCAGCACCTGGGTGGTGGCTCCTGGGCAGCCTCCCACCAGCTCTCACTTTCCTGTTTGCTCCTCTCAGGTGCTATTGGATCCCTTGGGCACCTCCTTCTGTTCACTGCTGCCACCGCCTCTCTTGCTCTGTAAGTGTCTCCCGATGCATGTGGTGTGCCGGGACCTGGGCAGCCCGTGGCTCTCAGCTCGGTCCGCTCTCTGTGCACCGCCATGTCCTGTTCTCAAGACTCTCTGCCATCTTCTTCGCCTTCTCTTCTGAGGACGCTGACATTTTCTGTGCTTATCGATAACCCTGATGCACCTTATTCCTTCCATTTAGGATTTTCTCTCCGTCTCTTCTTCCTGTCCCTCTCGCTTTATCCCTTCTTTTCCCGCCTCCATCTTTCCTCCCCATTTCCACTTTTTCCTTTTTCTTCTCTTCTCACCTGTCCTGCCATTCTTGCCTCCATTCTTTTCTTCACCCACATGCCATGCAGGATAGCAGTGCAGAAGCCCCAGGTCAGCCCTTGACTCTTCCTCGTTCGTCCATCCGTCCTCTGCTTCCAACCCTCTTCTTCCTGACATGCAGTCTGTCTTACCCCTCGAGGAGCCGGGGCCCCATGACTGGGCACAGAAGACATTCAGGCATGCTCCTCATCTGGGAGGAAACCAGTAATAATTAAAACCTCTAACTTTGGAGTCAAATTCTGCCTCTGCCCCGCCTGACTCTTGTGTCAGGTCGGAGAAGTTACTTGATGTCCCTCCACCTTCGCTCACTCAGTGTAAAATGTAGATAATCATCAGGCCTACTTCATTAATTCATGTGATTAGATGAATTAATGCTTATGAAGGGCTTACTTAGTACAGTTACTTAACTCATAGTAAATCTACAAAAATGCCAGCTGTGGATGCTATAACATGATCTGTGCCCTCATGGGGTTTATAGTTTGGTTTAAAGGTTACTTAAAATACTCAAAAAAATTTTTAACCTGTTGTGTATTCAACAAATGTAAATGGCTAATAATGTAACTACCCTTTTAATATCACCAAAGAATATAATCCATTAAGGTCCTACATGACTAGGACTGCACTAGGTACTATCACAAGAACAAAAGAAAATGTGATGTCTCTCCCTCCCTCCTTCCCTCTCTCTCTCCCTTCCTTCCTCCTTCCTTCTCTCAAAATAACCTACTAACTTACTAGGAAAGTAAAGCAAATAAATATACATGAAGTTGCTTGAATATATTTCAGAGGCCTCAAGTAAGCACGGGCGAAATCAGATCAGACCATACAAAGTAAGCAGTAAGGAATAGATCATTTTAAGTCAGCTTAGTTGAAGAGATTTTGTGGATAGGGCAAGGCTTAATTTGGACCCAGAATGATAAGACTTACGTAGGTGTGGAGAAGCAGAAAGAGACTTTCAGAAGAAAATGGGAATACAATATGACAAGCACACCAAGACTAAAAGGGTGCCTCCCATCCCACTCCCCCCAAAAATGGTGCTGACTCATAAGTATACCTGAACCTAATTTAAAAACTGAGCATCTAGTATATATGAGATGTGGCTGGCCACAAGAGGTAGAGCCAGCTGATTATAAACCTTTAGTCATGGCTGAGAGTTTGGACTTCAGCAGATAATAGTACGTAGCTGTTGGGAGCTTAAGTAAGAAAAAGATGTGATGAATTTCTTTTCAGGACGATTACTATGGCCGGGAGCTGTACTAGGAAAACAATTTGTGAGAACAGGAACTTACTTTTTCTTCAGCTGCTGTAGTCCTAGACCCAGAACACTGCCTGATACGTGGTATCACTTAATAAATAAATGGATGAAAATTAACCTGCCTAAAAAACTGTAGCAATAACATAGAAAACAGATAGGAGGATATTGTGAAGAAAGAGCCAATGACATTTATTAATAGTCCTGAGACATGAAAGCGAGAGGAGTATTCTTTATCTTGGAGACATTGAGCTTGGCCTAGTTCTTCTAGGAGGTGTCTTCAGCAAAAAGAAATTAAACATATCTGTGATTATTTATCCTCCTGTGTTCAGAGATACATGTAATACTAGGTCTGGATAGGGAGAACTCGTTCTCTTCTGGGGTAATCTGAATACTCTCTCTAAACTCCTTCGAGGGGTGACTGGTAGCCAGCTCTTCCTTTGAAAACTTGAGCCCACCTGTCTTCTGCTGTATGACGTTAATAAGATTGATGTCTGTAAAGGTGCCACACCTGCCTAAGCTGGAGTGTAAGCTCCATGAGGACGGGGACTTTTTCTTCGCTATGTCCCTGGGGCTTAAAAACAGTACCTGACACAAGGCTTTTGCTCAGTAGGTTTTTATAGGGTCGGTGAATCCCGGTCGCTTTCCTCACCATTCTTCAAGCTTCACTTTGCTGTTAGGCTCTCTGGAATGTCGCATAGAGCGGGGAGTGCCGGAAAAGGGCATACTCCTTTTGGAGTGGTGACCTGTGTGTCCTCCCTGTCGCTCTTTCCCACCGACAGCACGCCTGCCACCCCCAAAGTGAAACATCGAAATAAGAATATGTCGGGGGGCCGGGTAGGGAAGGCCTGGGTCGAGAGGATGGGCATGTGCTCCGGGTGTGCCAAGAAGCTACTGCTGAAATGGAAGAACAGCATTCTTTTTTGGTCCTATAGGAGAAAACAGTCAAATTATCTCAATTTGACGTTTTTTCTCTTTTAAATGTCTCTTAAAACTTGGATGCCTGCTACAGTTTGGCTTATGAAATGAATAAACAAGTGATTTAAAAATGCCAAAACGCCTTAGAAACAACTGGTCATGGTTGGTTTTGTAATCTTTTTGTTACATAGATTCAAGGTCAAGACTTTTATATAGCATACATGTAGTAATCATACTTTTGGCTTATTAACTTGTTTTTCCTTTTATAATAAAACCATATCAATGTTCTGTTATGTGTTTGAATAAAAGGCACTGCGGCTGCCAGGTACATTGTTCAGGGAACAAGTGAATCACGGACATGGACGGTTTTTAGTTCTATTTACAAGCAATGCTGGATTCCGCCCTTGCCCTGTCTCACAGGGTGGACCCAGCCCGGACCGTGTGTCTGCGCACCCCGAGTAGTGGGTGCATGCTGGGAGAGCAAGAGTTTCTGTTTTTTAATTCATCAGCCCTAGGTTGGAGGCAACAGCTGGAAATGGC